CTTTACATTTATGTTTCCGTTCATGTTGACAATACAGAGTATTTTACCATCCATATTGTAATTCCCTGCTCTTTAAGTACAATAGAAAAGTGTAAGTGTGTCATGTATATCATATGTGGCGCACTTAGTGCAGCTGTCTGGGCTTCCCACTTGACAACAAAGACGAAAATTGCGCAACATTAATAGCTAGCTAGTCGCTATCAAGTTAGTTGTTGCCTGGGCTTACCCTGTGAGCACATGGCCTATGTTGGCACAGTTGCAACGTAAATCCTCGAGCCTGCGGCCCTCAGCCAATACGTCACAATTGTATATACGAACTTATCCCAAGTGGCACTCTGGGCCCAGGCAACAACTAGTACACATGTGTTCACAAAAAATAGACCTAGGAGGCATCCCTACACCCCCCTTCATTTGCAGATAAATGACTTTTCAACTGTTTCATCAGCATGTGTACGAAGAGCAAAAATCAACTACATTGTCCTGAAGCTCAACTGTTGTGTGTTCATAGCTAAAACCTGTCATGTGTTATTACGTGACTCCATCTAGCTAAAAGGTTCACTTTAGGGACTCCAGTAAACAGGAATTGAAAGATCAGAGAGGAAACCTCTGCTCTCTAATAAAACCATGCGTAGCAACGTGAGAAGTAAGTAGTCTAACCAAGAACATAGGGCGAAAAAAAAAAAAAAATTGGTCAATGTCTTGGGGAACTTGGTGGTGCTGCTTTCTCTGCACTGTAGCAGTGCATGTAGTGTAGGCAACTAACACCTGGAACTACTAAAAGCTGTGAACTGCAAACCCTCGGCGAACTTCGCATGCGCGGTACCGCTAATTGATGGGCTGCGGGCTATTTAGTATGCTTTTACTCGTGGTCTCTCCCGCTAGTAGCTATCGGAGAGTCTTACACGGGCTAGCTACAGAATGCGGGAGTCGATACACGCCCTTCGTTGTGTCTTCTAGTGCCTTCAACAGAGCAAGCGGACCCGGTCAGTGCTCGTAGCCTGATAGAATGCTGCATCATTCCCGTCCTCATGTAGCTACGGCTCTGAATCGTGGGTCCTAAACTCCACACTCCTATCGAAACTCGAATCCTTTCAAGCAGAACTGGGGAAACGGATTCTGAAGCTAGCTACCTAAACACACCTCAAACTCCACCCCCGTTACCAGGAATCCGCGGACATTACAAGAAAACATGCCTCTGGAATGTAAAAAAATCCGCGCGGGTGAAATGTATGGAGTTCAATGGGAACATAAACTTTCTTGCAGCGTTGCTTGATGGTCTACCAACTCCGGAGAGGTCCGAACGTCTAGAAGTCAAGAACGACGACTCCTCCACCGCCCAAGCACAAAATATTCACCGTGGAGCAGCTAGTCTTTCGGCCAACTACAATCTCCCGCACCGCATGCGTTCCCCATTGAACTTATATTTTGAATGAAATTTCAAAATCCGTGTGGGTCTAAACCTTTTTTTAGCGGCCATGCTTAGTCTATTTTGAGGTCCGAACGTCTAGAACTAACTGTAGAAGAGAGTCTAAAGTTTCAGATGAACCAAAAAAAAAATGTTGGTTATATACAAAGTTAAGCGGCCAAACGCAGTTGAAAATCGGTAAAATTTGGATGAAGGAAACTGGCCCGTCTGCCTCGAGGAACCGGGAAGACGCGTTTCTGTGTCTCACGCCACTTTGTGTCATCTGAAAAGTCTTAGGGGTTTCTGGGGCAATAGGCCTACCTTTTGCACCGCTACAGAGTTTTCCCCGCTACTCTAGAGGTTATACCTAGCTGGCTCGTACTACTGTCACCGCTCATGCACGCTGATGCGTCCATCCGGCACAACCGAAACTCTCACCTATCTGGCAGACGACGCAGTGTTTCAGTCAGTACGCTACCTGCACATCAGTAGTGGAACCTTCAAGCCTACAGACACAAGAATGGTTCGGCCAAAGCCTCTCTCAGTCGTATATACAAACAACCAAGCAAACGCCCCGCCTGGCCTGTTGTGGCTTTTCTCACGCAGCTTCTCACGTGCAGTGGACTCGAAGGTGCTTTGGTATCCACCAACATACATTCAAATGAGTGTCAATATAACCACATTCACTAAAAACAGAAAAGGTCAGTCTCTGGAAGATGGTTCCGCTCGGCAAAGGACAGGCGTAGAGGTCGGGCCGTTCCTTGTTGGATAACACCATCAGAAGGGCAGGCAGACATCCATCACAACGTTTTCATGTCAAACATTCTCCAACACAGAGTGGTGTAGCGAAGAGCTGGCGTATCCACCGTCTTCCTGAGTGCGCTTCAGATAGAGATGCCCGTAGCTATGGTAACCGCCGTTCTGTCCGCATGCGCGACGAAGAATAACACGTAAACAAGCTGGTTTACATGTTTACATGGCGCACAACAAGCTAAGTACAGAAATAACACCGTGACCTAAACTAGGCAGATTGCTGGTAACGCCCTGCTGGCCCCCTCAATGTGCTCCCGGATACTGTGTAGCAAGCTCGCTTTTCTACAAAGTGTCCTCACTGACAACCCAACGCAACCTCTCCGATCCGGGTCTTCAACAGCCTCTGACGTCATGTCCATGAGCATTGTAAAGCAATGTAAATTCCTTGAGGAGAAGTTGGACACTAACAGCAATTTCACTGACGAGGTTCTGTCCCAGTCACCCGTGCAAATCAAAAAGCGAATTCTCGGTAGAACTCTCACACTTTCTGAGAACCATCCATCTCTCCAGCATCCTCTGTCGATTGCGAGACAAAGGTGTGGATGAAACTCTGGGATACAGCTCTGGATCATGGAGTGAATGGCACAAACTCAGCATTGAACGCGCTCAAACTTCTATCTATGACCCTCTTTGAAGACAGGATCTGTCCGGTGACCGAATGTGACTATGTTGTCCCACAGAACACACCTTTATGTGCCCATTTCATCCAAAACCATACCAACCTACCCACCGGGGTTACTCCTGGCTTCCTTGTTGATCCATTGGAAATGACCCTGAGAAAACCGTTCAAAATATCTGACCTTCATTGCCCGTTAAGTAGGTCATGAGACAAACGAACGCTCGAGAAGTGAGATGTAGAGTAACAGACAGACAGACACACACACACACACACACAGAACGACTACAGTAAACCCTCGCTGTGCATGCGCGCCGAGGGTTCATAATGTAACAGGAAGGTGTGAGTGTGGATATGGCCTAAGCTGCAGCAACCAGGTGGAGATAAAAATGGATACTGTGCTACATCCTCCAAGCATACTTGACTGATTGTCCATTTCTACACACATCCAACATCATCAACAGAATGCATTCAGAGATGCTTATCAATGCTACCCAGTTGGATTAGGTGATATGTGGTCCTTACAACAGAAAGGTTTGCTGAGGTGGGGAGTGTAAGGAAGGCTATGGTCCTGCTGTTTCGAATATGCGTCCGAATGGAACTCGTGACTACAGAGCACTGGCAGGAGCACCATTATTACTACCCGTGCTGAACTTTGTATTAAACTTGCTTTGGACATAATATTGGTAATCACGTGCTTTAGTATATGTGATGTGGATGATGCTGGTATGTGTAGTCTCATACATAAAACCCTGCAAATCATCAGTTGCGAATATCTCCCTTGTTTTTCACATGACACTGTTTGGAATACTATGGATCTGAAGTGCTTTTCTCAACTGCTGTGTCTGCTACATGTGGTCGTCTCACCTCATTACGAAAAATATTTTCTTTCCCCTACTAGTTCAAGAGGTGAAGTAGTAGGTGGTAGAGTGAGGCCTTATTATTATCAGCAAGCCTTGGTTATAGGAAACTTGGTGCGTAAGATATGCTTTCTGAGATACCTTGATGTAAGTAATGAGATGAAGGCGATGGGTTCCTCTCAGTAGTCTGATCATATATACCCCTACTATATACTCCACTCTTCGACAGATGTTAGTTAAACCAAAACTCCCTGTCCACAAGACCATGAAAAGGGTATATGTACAGAATATAGTGTACAGAATGACCTAGATGTGCTTTCCATTATTCATTGTCATCTGCTCAATCCGCATTCCATCACTGTATATCTGTCACCTCATCTTTCCTTCTTCTTGCACTGATGATGGTAGCTACCTGTATAGGTACTGAAACGTTTTCTAATAATTTTTTTTATTCCGACTATATAGTGAAAATTTCTACAAGCTAGTCACACAGGATGGTAAATGTAGTTGTCTTGTGTGTCGTCTGTCTGTCTGTCTGTGTGTGTATCTGTTACCGCTCTAGCTGCTTCAGCGTCCGTTTATATCCTCAAGCACGATACGCACGGGATTTTGACTCGTGATTTTCGAAAAAACTTCCGTTCCAAGTATGCCGTGAAAGGGGCAATATGCAATAGTTACAGCGCCGTTTGTGCACACTTTCGGGACAACGAAACGCAGCAGCTACTCGAATGACAACTGGTCGGTGGGAATGTGCTTCAGACGCTACTACTGCTGCAAGCGGCCAAAGACAAGCTATGCTAGATGAGGCTGGACCTGATCGTGCTTGTGTGTGTATATACCTCGAGGACGCACAGTAAACAAGCCACAGCCACAAGAGCGTGTATCGATTCCCGCATGCATCACTACTCGTAGCTAGCGTGTCAGCTATCCAGCTAGTCAGACTGCTCCGCGAGCTACTAGCGGGAGACCACGAGTAAACGCATACACTAATAGCCCAGCCCCCATCATTAGCGCGCACCGCGCATGCGTAGTTTCGCCGAGGGTTTGCTACTAGTTTATACCAACACTGTTTTTACAAAAACTTTTTCACATCTCCCGTGGTTTAGAAAAGATTGTGATTATTTCAGAGACTAATAAATACAAATACACTGACTGACTTACTATCAAAAACAATTTTTGTTTCGTGAACTACAAGATCAGGTTGGATATCAGCCATACTTGGACAACTGCAGTAGATGTAGACGGTATTTTATTTACGGATGAATAGCTACTGCGTAGTATAACCTGATAGTCATCATAGCAGTGTTCATTCATCTCTGAGTATCTGCGAACCTCTCCACTCCTCCTGTCCATTGTAGGCCAGACCCCACAGACTGGTCTCCCTATGAGACCGCCTGGCCCCCATTGCTAGAGCCTTCAGCACATCAGTTCCCCGTCTCACTCCTCCATCCATGTACACATCCACACGTCCCTCGACTGCCTTCACCACCTCACTCAGAGCATCGATCTACAGTTTATAATATAGAAGACGAAGATATAAACTCCACAGTTACACTGAAAAGAACAATGAATGGAAAGTTATTAGAGGGGGACTGAGAATATTATGTTTGGGAGCTTGAACATTTGCAGTTGGTTTATATAGATTCACATGCGGCATTATTAGTACATGGAGTACCAATTGTGGATGAAGGTATAATAACTTATGTACAAACTTGAATACACATATGTTATGACGTTTTTATAAACTGTATGGTTTATTATTACAATAAGGTCTTATGTTACTGAGTGTTTGCATTCTTTTACATAACAGAAATGCCTGTATTAACTACTGTTGTCCAGGCTCATCCAGCGTGTCTTCCTCCATGGTTGGAGACTATGATTCCCTGGACCCCATGTCTCACTGCCTCCACTGCATCCTCTGCTGTCAGGATCCCTTTCAGCACTACTGGCAGTCCATTGAGACCACGGAGCCAGTCTATGTCCTCCCAGGTCACACTGGGATCAATGGTTTTGCTTACATCTCTACGATAATTGGTCTACCCATCCCAATATGAGGCAAGGATATGTTAGAAGGAGGATTTAGAGATGTGCTAGTGGATGGACAGAGGATGGGCTGGTTCTACTGTCACTACAATGGCTCGTAGCCAGCTCCCTCAGCTCGAATTACGAGGCTTCTGGGTGAGGTTCCGATCTTTACAAATGTAGACTTGGAACCACCTCAGACCTGAGCAACTAGCAGTGCCACTTCCTCCATACTGGTGGTGGATAAGGTCCCAGCACCATACAGGTATTGGACGTGGCAGCAGCTGCAGAGAAGCATGAGAAAGCCCCCTATATCTACCGACCAGCACAGAACCCAGTGCAGCTATATACAAGCAGCCTGAATGTGTTTACATTGGAAAATAGATAGCTGAGTTAACTCATGCTCCAGAAGCAAACCAGGCGTGGTAAACTGAAGACAAAATCCGGGATACATGTCAACGAGAGTCACGCCCAGGCATGTGCTAGCCTTTCTGTTTCTAGGGGATGGGAGTGTTGGAGTGTTTTTCACTGACGACCGCGTTCAGCCTATACATACATTCCGTATAATATAGTGAGTCTCACACCATTGTTTTAATAGAGTCCTTACCTCTAGCAGTGCCAAGTCTCCTTGCACCTGTGAGCATTTTTGCATGGAAGTGGATCCCAACACATCGGGAAGAGATTTTCTGCCCCATATGACGTGACGTTAGTATGTCAACGCCTAGATACATCCCGCAGTACCGCGGCCGAAGACGACACCTGAAGATACAGAATTATCTACTAGGTAGTCCGCTACAGCTCTACTATAGGTATGCAGCTCATATACCTCAGAATGCCGCCTCATTATCCTTAGAGTCTCCGTTTGACCGGTTGCCCCGCTTGAGAAATACCTCCAGGCATTGACATCCAAGTTATTCTGTGCGAATTTCTCGATGTCTGACAAACACAGCATTGTCGACCATTGGTCTCTGTTGACCGTCGTCACGGGGCAGCATGCGCATACATAATGGTTGCGTACGAAAGTTATGACGTTAAGCATGCGCACTAAGACGACGTATGGTGCGCCGTATCTAGGAATGCGCACGCGCATATTTTGCCTCGTGCCTGCCAGCCAAGGCGTAAAGTCGATGTCGTGCGCGCGCTCTACTGACTGCGCGCGAAGCCAGACTTCCTACGAATCACTGTCCTTTTGGTGACTAATTGACATTCCTAAGCGTGACTAATTGACGACGTACGTACGAGAATACAACCGGAGTCAATTCGAGCCTCGCCCCAATTATCACTGAGATCATTAGCTATACAGTGCACGACAATTGATAACATTGCAAGACACATAAGGGCAAAAAGAAATAGGTTATGTATAGTTATACGATGGCGGCGCGTGTTTACTGGTTTTACGCGAGTGGCAGTTTTGATAGGGCACGAGGGCGTAGCCCGAGTGGTCTATCAAAACTGAAGCCACGAGTGTAACAACCAGTAACCACAAGCATACCATCGTATAACGTGTTTGTATGATGACATCCGGCGGTAATGCTCCGACCAATGAGATTGCGCAAAAGCTTTCAAAACGCCCTCTTTTTAACGCACACCCTCGAGTGTACGGAGAGAGCTAGCGATCGATCGGGAGAGAGACAGCTGCAATAAGCGCTCTAGTTTTGTCAAGCTGGGGCGGTTGTGCAGAAGCCATGGTCATTTCTCGAGAGTTCACGTTACAGGTACGTCAAAGCTATACTTTTTCGCTGCTGACTCCACACGAGTTTTGTAGCTGCCGCTCTGGCTCGCTTTCTCTCCCGCTATACCCAGCACTCGAATACAGCCTGTTGCAGTAGCAAGAAAGCTGAAAGTCACCAGTCTACGGGAGCCTACGCGTCGGGAAGGAGCTTTGGCTAGTTTTCAGACCGCGTATTATACTAGAGCAGTTTCTGGCCATTCCAGCCTGAAAACACTCCCTTCTTGTAAAGAAACAGCAGCACACAAAGAGTGTAAAAGCCCCCCAATTGCATTACACGCTGCCAATTTCCTACTATCGTATAACTATCATATACCCACTGTGGTTTATGCAAATAAGTTGACATACAGCTAAAGTATGGGGAAATCGTATGGCCTCTTTATAGTATAACTACCCGTAAACTCAGCAGGAAGCGCTCACTACGCGTGTACGTTGTTTGGACTAGCTGGAATTCCTTTGGTCTTACTCTCAGTCATCATACAAAGGCTATCAAACTAACCCATGACCAGTCGTATCGAATGCAAAATGCGACGTTACTGGGTGAAATGGTGCATTTGCGTGTGAAGGTTACAAACCCTATTTATGTATCACTGCTAAATTCACCAATTGCTCTCGGTGCATGGTCCAAGTGCTATGCTGTTATGTTTTACATGTTCCATAGCCTGAACTACTTTATACGTAGCTACATATAATGTCTATAACGTAGTCCACACATGGCCAAATTGCATAGAACTTCCATTTAACTAATCTTCAAAGTGATCCAGCATTACTATATGCATGATATCAAAGAGACTCTGAGGAAAATGTGGCAATGCCAATGAGCTGTATAGTTACTTAGAAGTGTTATACATTTGTACACGTTATGTAGTTATGAAGTGTTATATATTTTGTACACGTTATAGTAATGATGCCAAATCATATTATTGGGAAGCCTAACAATTTTGATTGGACAAGAGTTAGTTTTAACGGGAAGCTTTATCACTTGCCAATTTTTAAGTGCCTTTCATATATATAAGCATTTATCATCATGCAAGTCGAAGTAAAGTCTGGGTATTCGCAGGAAGAGTTCCACCATCAAGATGGTTGATATTGGCGAGCTGAAAAAGAGTGAAATTTTAGAATAAAAAGATTCGCAGAGCAGTATTGAAACACATGATGCTGACAAGAACGGTTCTATAACCAGAAGTGATTTTGAATTTGTAGTCGAACGCTACAAGATGAGTGCTGGTGGTAGCTACAACAGACAAAATCGAAAAATTGTCTGAAGTAATGTTTTCTTTCTGTGATAAAATTGGGCTTGGTGATAGTGTCGTGTTAAGCTATGAAGAATTTGAAAAACGTTGGCAGGTTGTGATGGCCCAAGATCAAGATAATATTAATAGGCTGTTCAAGACTATATTTGAATGTCTTGATCCCAATGGCGATAATATTATCGACATCAATGAATGGGAAATCCATAATGCTGCTATGGGTATACCACCACGATATGCACAGGATTATTTTAATGCTATGGACAAAGATGGGGATGAGAAGATAACAATGGATGAATTTGTAAATTATCACACAGAATTTCTTCTCACCACTGAGAATAAACTGAACGGTGCCATTCTGTATGGTCCTCTTTAGATGAACTCACATGTTGTACAACTGCATTTGTAGTCCAACTTCAAACAACCTGGTGCTAGGAATAGCTGTGGGCTGCGGGCTGCACTGGTATATATCAGTATTGGACAGGAAGTCCTTATCACAACATCTAGCGCTAGGCGTAGTTCAAATTGTCTGGCTTCCAAAGTTTACACAACAGTTATTAGTGCATTAGTGCAGGATGACACAGAAGAAATTCAGCATTGTGATTTGCTAGTTGGACTAAAAATCAGTTAACTCCTTATTTTAACCCTCGTCCGGTATAGTCAACAGCCTCGGAGTACCGCCTCGCCGCCTATACGTTAACTAATACGTATTTGTAACTAGTATAAAAGGCAAATGCATGGCATTTTTGCCGAGCGGGAGTGAGCACACAATGACTGTATAAACACGAGCCATTCTAGTCAAATTACAACTACGTAGCACCTTTGGACAACAAAGATTGGAAAGAGGTACAGAGCCTAGGCATCAATGAGTGCAGCGGGTGCCGCTGAATGGACAATAGTTCAAATGCCGCTGAATTTCTCACGCTGGCTATATTCGCATCATTGACAACATGACAGCAGAGTATATATTACCGACGCTTTGCTTCAAGAGCTGGAATGCTTCCTCGGCTGGGCTGCTAAAAGAGCTCTCAAGTCTCTAACACTGCAGCCCTGGTATGTCTAGGGAGAGAGTCTACAAAGGCTAGAATCCTCACTCGGAAGCTGGCGTTCCTGAAGCATCTACTCTCCCAGGAGTCAGATGGTGTTGGGGCTGCTACCATACACTCGCTGCTAGACGGCCCAGATTCTCTATGTACGTATCGTCAGAGAGTGTCGTGATCTCGAAGCCTCCTTCGGGACCAAGTTTACTGATCAAGTCTTGGGTGATGCTGATAGCCTGAGTGCAACAGCATATACTAGAGCTCGATAAAAAGTTGATGCTAGCCACCTGTGACTCCAAAGCCCCCTTGATTGCGGATGTCTGCAAGTGTGGCGGTGCATGGCCAGCTCTGTGGGACACAGCACGGCATCTTGGGTCTCGTCATACCCTAGGACTCCAGTATCTTACTCGATTGCTTACCCATCATGGCAGAGGTTCCACACCCTGCCCTCAATGTGACACCGATCTATCCGATGGCGCTACGACCTTGATTGACCATGTACTATACAGAAACACGAAGGAGTCACGAACCTTTCGGGATTTTCCACAGAGTTCATCACCATGCTCACAAATTGAGTTGTAGCTAAAATAGATTTCGCTCCTTATTTTAACCCTATTTTTTTATTTGTATAATTATTTCGCTGTGTGTACTTGTGCTCCCCGAAGGGCTATCTCATGAACTTTTGGACTTTGGTTGGGCTATAATTAAACGTATACTCGTGGTCTCCTGCTAGTAGCTCGCGGAGAGTCTGACACGGACTAGCTACTGCAGTAGTAAATAGCATGCGGGAGTTGATACACGCCCCCGATCGAGAGCCAGGTCCCACAGTCGGCACCATGATGTAACCTCGGCTATGTATTTTGCCGAGGGATTGGTGGCGACAGATCTCAGCAGTACATCAAAATCAGACTGTATGGTTTCTTTTCTCATAGCATTTCACAATACTAGGTGCATCTGTCGGGTTTTGGAGGCACAGAGCAAGGACATTTGTGCTCACATCCGCCTCCAGCATTCTACATTGTTGTACGATACCCACATTGTATACATCAACAATCGCCAGAGAGGTGAAGATCCGGCCGCATGCGCAAACTCCAATAACGCATGAGGCTGCACAAATACAGCAAGCTATGAGCAGTAGACAGTAGGCCACGCACCAAAATTGTTGTAGCCTAGCTACTCCACAGATACCTTTGTAGAATTCCGTGGAGAAAACCAGCTAAGAACTCGTGCTTTGTGTCGATCATACCGTTTCTACAACGGTTTCTTGCGCTGGAGCACTTTTCGATAGCCTGTTTGTCTTGAGACTCGGTAACGGTGTTTTGCAGGGACGTGGGCACGAGGGCGAGTACCAGCCTATGTCCTTTGTCTTCCCTTTCTCTTTAGTAAACAATATCGCTTACTATGCATACTTGCAATACAACGCTTATGAGCATTGGCATGAAATTATAGTTCATAGCATACCAGCCATAGGTATAGATAGATAGACAGATAGATAGAGAAATAAATAAAAACCACCACCACCATATTTACAAACCCCAAAATGTCCACACAAAACACATACACAAATACACATGACATGACATGATAGTAGGACACTGGGTGCCCAGCCTTGAGAACCGGGACGGTGGGTTAAAGAGTCTTTTATGGCTAGCCAACTCTCCCCACACACCCAGCATCCAAACTCCACATCACAAACAATGACAGCCACACAGTGAGTAACTGTACGATAGTACAGTCACGACAACACATGTAGAGTACGATACATATAAATATAAATATATACACAAACACAGATGGTAGAAAAAAGAAATTGGTAGCATTGTAGAAAAATAGAAAAATAGAATCTAGCTTACTTACTGGACGTAAAAAACAAGGTAGAATGACTCACTTGTAGCATGACTCACTTGTAGCAGTAAACACATGGTAGAAAAAC